TTCCTTCCTTCCTTCCTTCCTTCCTTCCTTCCTTCCTTCCTTCCTTCTTTCTTTCTTCTGAGACAGCATTTCTCTGTGTAGCCTTGGCTGTCCTAGACTTGCTCTGTAGGCCACGCTGGCCTCAAACTCACAGAGATCTACCTACCTCTATCTACTTGAGTGCTGGGATTCCAAGCATGCACTACCATACTCAGCTGTGGTGATGTTCTATTTCAGAGTCAGTGTAGCTTAAAATAGGATGGGGAGGTATTAAAACCCCCATGACTAACCCTTCCTTCATTGCTTTTCTTTAAGCTCTACAGGTTCTAACTACTTGAGTAGTTAGAGGCAAAGATGGAATGTTTCCTAAATCTTTACCTCAGTAATATTTGTCCCCCAACCTCTGCTTCTTCACACTGTGACAGTTCAGAGACTTTTTTTCAGGGTAGATAGGTGGTTGCAAAACACAGGTGTGTGTCTCCTAAGTGAAGGAAAGAAAAAAATTATCCCATTGGGATTGAATTTAGATGACCTCGGTTATATAGTCATGGCTTCCTCATTTTATGGGATCTGGCACAAACCATTTCAACCATTAAATGTAATTCAAAAATTAAAAATTTTAAGGAGAGGTAAATGTTAAACTACCCCATTTTGGTAAACAGTGGATATCTTTATGGTAAAGTTCAATGATAGATTTGTAAAATATAAAGTCGATGGTGGACTGGGCATGTAGCTCAGTGGTTGAATGTTTGCCTATCATGAGCAAGGCTCTGTATTCCATCCATAGTACTGGAATTTAAAAAAAAAAAGCTATTGCCATAGTAATACTGGTAATGATAGCCAACTTACCAACTTACAGGGTAGTTGTGAGGTTTAAGAAAATTAATTCTAAAAGGGTTTTGTAAAATAGAAATGACTGAAACAAGTACATTGTTATAGTATATCTTTTGGTCACTAATACATCTGTTGATGAATGTATAATTTTCAGTAAAGTTCGGAAAGAAAATACATAAATAGAAGTACTTGGAAACAGTCTTTTTTCTTGTTACCTTGTTGGAAAAGGACACTCATTTGGGCACAATTGAAATGAGTTTTGTATTCATGCTCATGGATCCATTTTAGCAACTGGAACATGGCAATAAAATGCAGGACAATGATTGACACTTAACTAATTTGGCTATCAAATAAAATGGCTAGCATTCCTGCAAACCCTGAGACATGGCACACTGTGCTGCAATACTCAGCCGTAATTTTCCTTTAGGTTGTTAACCCAGGTGAAACTTGATATCAATACTTTACCCCACTGTGTGATTTTGCAAAGAGTTCTGGATAAGGCTTTAGACAATAAACATGTGTGGCTATTAGTGCCTTAAGTGTGGTCCTGTTTGAATACTGTGCTGGATAGTTTTTTTTTTTTCCATCTTGACGTAGCTGGAGTTGTCTGGGAAGAGGAAAGCCAATTGAGGGAATGCATTCCTCATATCGTCTGTAGACATGTTGGAGGTGTTATTTTCTGGATTGATATGTGGAGGCCACAACCAAAGTGCCACCTCTGAGCAGTTGGTACTGGGTGACTTAAAAAAAGCAACCCAGAAAGCAGCATTCTTTCCTTATCCTTTGCTTCAGTTCCTGCCCTCACTGGTGGATTGTGACTTGGGAATTGTAAGCAGAAATATATTCTTTCCTCCCCAAGATGCTCTGGCCATTTCTTTTTTAAATCACAGCAACAGAAAGCAAACTAGGACAAATACTTAGGTTTATTTAATTCAGTGTTCTAAGATAATTGATGTTCCAAAGAGAGCCAGCCTGCCTCCTTTGATGGGTACTTGATTCCCCCTCCTTAAATGTAATGTGTTTATAATTATTGGAGCATATGACAATTATATGTTTAATAGAAAATAAACACTCATCACTCTGAAATATAATGACAGTATTGCCTGCTTTTCTGTGGTCATTTGCTGGTTTTCTCTCTCTGTTTCTGTCTGTCTCTCTCTCGCGCTCGCTCGCTTTGTGTGTGTGTATGTGTGTGTGTGTGTGTGTGTGTGCATGTGCGCATGCATATGTGCTGGGGATAGAATATGGGGCCTGTGCATGCCGGGCAAGCTCTTTTCTCCTGATTGATATACCCATGTCTCTCCCCTTTTTTTTTTCCTTGTTGACAGTTTTAGTTCTTTTGATGTTCTTGAATATTTGCTAAGCACTGAGGGTGGCATTGTTCAGTATAAAATATATGGCTTGTTGCTTATAGCCCCTAGAAACCTGAGACACTTAATGTAGACTATATATAGTTCATGGAACACATGCCATTAATTCAGTAAATAACTGTGCACATGCTATGCTCTAAAAAAAAATCTTTGCTCAGACGGATGTTGTATATACAGAGTGAGTCACAGATGGATATCGATCTCAAGAAGTTCCAAGATTAGTAGGGGAGATAGGAAAATGAAAAATAACTGCTGTATGAGGTAATAAAGTTCACAGCTTTTGAGTAGGATGGTGAAAAAAAAAAGAACTAGAGTTGGGTGGTGGACATGATTGTATGTCCATTAGAGAGAGAGAATACTCATTTCTTGGTGAAAGACAGAGGAAGCAAAGGAGGAAATAGCACCAGAGCTTGCCAGAATTAACAATACATTGAGTTATTAAGCTGTATACCAGTGTTTCCTAAATTTTTTAGATGTTATGCTTTATGAACAGGTAATGCCAAAAGAAAGTTTTGCTATGCCAGAATATAGATTTAGCTTTGTTTTAGAAAGATATATTTAGAGACTATCAAGAATAGTGAGTTAGCACCCTTGCACAAATGTTTGTGTTTCTCTTTTTCATTTTTAGGCAGGTCTCATTAAGGAACTCAGGCTTATTTCGAATTCACTGTGTATCTCACTCTGGCCTTGATTTCATTATCTTTCTTTTGTATGAGTGTGTGTGTGTGTGTGTGTGTGTGTGTGTGTGTGTGTTTGTAGCTTTTTCAAATAAGTTATACTGTTGTAAATCAAAGACAATTTTATCACTATA